GCTACAGAAAAGCTAGAGTCAAAACTGGGTTTTAGGGGGGTGCTGCAAGACGAAAGGCAATAGTAACTCAGGCACAGCCATACCCACAAGCAGTTGTTAGGTATGAGCAGAAGGCATTCTAGGAGTGATGGGGGTTTATAAATCATGGAAGAGGTAACCATAGCTGTTACCTTGAGAGAGAAAACCAGTGACAAACATGTGTCTTGCCTATCAAATAAAGCTGTTGGAAGGAAAGATTTGGAACTAGTCTCCTTCTGCTGCTGTCTTGTGCTTTGGGAATGCTCTGTGTATGTTCCTCTCCTTTTTTGTAAGTGAGCAGGCAAACCTCTAACCCTGGATACCACTGCTGCTGCAAAACAATGGCATCACCCAGGCTCTAAAATCAAGAGCAGAAGTTTGACAAAGCTCTGCTCAATAATTGATTATTTTTCCCCCTAGGATTTAATTAGAATATTGACATGCTGTTGTAACTTATGACGCTAATAATTTGTCTGTCTAAAAGCCAAAGTGATTTAAGATTTTAGCACATTAGCCAAACTTCCTGATCCTGTGAACTTGCTGGTAAAAAATCCTGGTATGACTGAAAACTACAGGCCGAATGCTAACTGTCTCAAAGAGTCTAGGATTGCAGAGGTTTTGGTTAAGCATACAAGCAAAGAGAATGATAGCTTCTTGCAGTCCCTTTGCTCAGTTGTGGGACAGAGGAATAAGAGCATTGCTGAGCCCCTAGGCAGTGAGGCAGCACCATGGTTAGCACTGTGATAACTGCTTCGACCTTCCTAACCATCCCATTTACATTGCTTGTCATGGAGAGCAGTGCTTGAATCCTGTGCAAGCCATGCTGTTGAACAAACAGAAGTAGCCTTTGTCCTTTGTTTTCACTTGCTTTCCCCTTTCCTTTCTCATCTTTCTTTAATAGCTGCAGTTTAATTGAGATTGGGTTTTTCTTGATTTTTTCACCAGTGTCCCAATGGTATTGTTAAGATTTCGCTGGAATTAAAGCAGGGAGAGTCATATCCCTGAATGCTAGTTAAGAGAAACAATTGTTAATGGGTAACTTCTCACTTTTTCTCTCTCTATATGCTAATATATATATTTTTTTAAATAAAATTACTTGGCAACCACTGTGAAGTGTCCCTATGTATACCATACCATTATGAGGAATTTTCCATGCATAAATAAGGTAGCCCTAGTTTACTCTAGTTTAATCCTCTCTGAGGATGTGAACCTCCATGGCAGTTAGCAATTATGTTACAGTGAACCAAGGCTACATTGCTCTTGAGTGTGTGCATCTACAGGAGTGATTAATGTGCCTTGACATTGACGTCACTCCTGTAGTTGCTTTGTCTTAACTTTTTCAAGTATATCGATTGTAGACGTGGCCTGTACTTAAGACCCCCATTATTTTTGTGTGAATAATATATCCAAATTGGAGGAAAGGGAATTTTGGTGTTAATTTGTGTTCTGGTGAGAAATAGGTGGGACTTGGACTTTGAAAATATTTGAAAATACGATTTGGTCTTCAGGATACTTTAGGCATATCACTGGAATTCTGGCACTGTATATCTTATAATTTCTCTCTTATGATATTAATGGCCATAGCAAGAATTGTAATATCTTTTCTGTTCTCACTCGCTGTGGCAGATTTTGCCACGTCCTGATAAAGGCCTTCTGTGTCCTTTATGTTCCAAAACGCGAAGCAGGACATAACATGGGGGGGGGAAGTTTATTGCATCATGTGGGTGGTTTGAGTCCATAGTCAAAACCCTGTGTTATAGACCAAGATGCTGTCCTAGTTTGTTTTAGACATTGTACAATAAAGAGTGTTGGTGCTGCCCCACAATCCTTGTAGTCCAAGTAGCAAGGCAAGACATAACAGATGGACATAGAGGGATGAAGTAGTGAGAGAGATAACATTGGTAAGTATACTAGCTAAGCGAAAATAAACTGGCTAATGAGTTTCAGTGCTATTTTTAGAATATCAGCGCTCCATGTGTGTGAGGGGGGTCACTGTCCCCAGGGCTGCCAGCTCAGAGTGGTGACAGGTCATGGAAGCAGTAGGCTCACAGTCCCAGTTGCACTTCACATGTGCAAAGCCCCTGCTCATCCACTGTCTGTTCCCTGCTCCCTGCTGTAACTGCTGAAAAATCAGATTTGAGCATTTGTGTTTCACCCTGCTTTCAAAAGAAATGCAGCAGCTGCTGTGGTTCTGACATTTCACGGTGGTAGAAATAAGCAGGATTACTCTTAAAGAAAAAAAAAAAAAAAGACAGGGTGTGTACTCACAATGTTGCCCCATCTGTGCTATGGCCAGACTTGGGAGTTATGCTTTGAACATTGTAAGAATATTGTATTAAAGGAGTTACAAATCTTGTGAGGGAAAAAAAAAGGCAGTTAGAGATTTTTTTAAAAAACTCTTATGCCAAGAAAGTGTAACAGTAATCATATTACCTAGCCTATTCCGTTAGCTTTAAAGATTATCTACGTGCAGTTAACTGCGGTATGAAACAGTTCACAGTCATAACTGAACTATAACTGTGTCTCAGCACACAATATTTACATATTTCACCAAAATTTGCAATTAGAGGTTCAGTTATGTATTGTGGATACTTTTATGGAATGCATTTTTTTGTCTGATCACCGGTGTTTTGAATCAAATGCTGAGGGCTAAGCATTTTTTCAGTGTTTGAAGGATTAGCAAGGATCCCATATTGACTTATTAATGTAGTTGTATATAAAATAGCTTTCCTGACTGAATAATTATGTGTGTATGTATTTCCTGTGCTCTGTGCTTAACTATTTGAGAAGTTTTGGTGTAAGTGTACATGTCAGCAGGGTAGTTGTTGCTCTGTTAGTTGTTCATGGTCTCCACAGGCATTGGTTTCTGGTTTGTGTGTAGATGTATGTTCTTCCTTGTTAAAAACTTTGGTAAGCAGATAATATTGCCTTAAAGGCCTAAAACCCATCCCAAATGCTAATTTTTATCAAGTGGATGTTGGTGCTGTGGGAGATTCTACTGTTACTGTAAAAAAAAAAAATAAAAAAAAACCCCCACAAACAAAAAACCCACAAACAAAAAAAACCCACAATCAAAATGTGGAATGTGCAAAGGATGAGATGTAAAATGGCAGAGAGGCTAGCAGAAGCTGCTGTTAAAAAATAGCATCTACACTCCCCCTCCATACTAACAGTATCTAATTAAAACCTGGAAACTACATGACATATTGGATTGCAACAACTGTAGTTGTTTTTTATCTGTATCTTTTTCGACTGTATGAATCTGATGTGAATTTGGGTCATAATGCAAACTGTATGAAAGACTTTGATGCATATTTAAGTACATTTGAAAATCTTTAAGAAATTTAGGAGGATGATTTGATATTAACTGATGAATTTCCAGAAAGACCAATCTAGGGCTATCAAAGAACAAGGATGTCAATCCAGAATTAAGAGAATAAGTAGATCTCAATGGGCAAATATGCAGAGCGCTTTGCTTGTGTTATTGCACTCTGTTAATGCCTTTTACCTTACCACCTTACCCATCACATTCAAGTTGGTTCATATTCAAGATAAGAGACATGAATCAGTAAAAGTACCTAAATGCTGAATGTTTTAAGAAGCCCTTTTGTTGTGTTTGAACAGCATAGGAATGGAGTAACTGTTTTGTTATTTGTTTTTTTTCTCTGAACTGGGGCCATCTTGAACCATGTTCTTATAAAGCATGCTCAGAGAAGAGAGTGGGGAGACTGCCCCATGGATTAACATGACAACATAGGGGGTTTGTTTGTAGATTAAAGCTGTTGAACTTCAGATGAATTGGTTTTGTGCTGGGATACATTACCTAACCTTGTGGACAAGGGATTTTAGCAACTGGATTAAATGAAATTACGGAGACAGCGTCTGAGTCAGCAGTTGTACTTGTTCTTTTTTTTGTAGCTTCTTGGGAGAGTTCGGACTTGGTAATGGTGAATGGGAAACAGTAGACTTGTTAGTCCTGCTTTTCTAGCATCTGCTATTTTATCTATAGAGTGAAGGTTTGTTGAGGGGGAGGGGAGTATGTAATGCTTAACTTAACTTACAGTTTGCAAACTGTTTTACACTATGTCAAGTATAACTAGGCCATGTAGCATGGGACTATTTGTTAGCATTTTCATAAATAAAGACTTGTTTGACATTTATAATCTGGGTGTGGAAGATAAATGCATTAAGTTCCTGCAGTAGGCTCTGGGCCTCTGCCAACAGTTGAAGAAATCTAAGTAATGAAAAGGATCATAGCTCCATATTCTCTTGAGTTTCAGGCTCCACACAAGAATTTTTATGCTATCACAGTAGTATCTGTGCTTCTTTCGACTATCTCTGTTTGTCATCACAGATGGGTAGGCATTGTTAAGGCAGATTAAACTGTTGAACATTAAAATCTTGCTAACATTGATGGAAGCCTGACACTTTCCTGAGCCACACAGCATGGTACAGGGAAGCCTGGCCTGACCCTGTGGATGCTAGCTCCTCCTAGGGAGCAGTAAGATCACATCACATCACAGAGCTCCTGTACACAAGTTATTAACTCCTGTCTTTCAGTAGTTACTAAACCTCATGCATGGTTTAGCAATCTGGCTGTGGAACTCTGAGAGAAAAAAACTGTCTTTGAAACCATTTGAGTTGAGAAGATCACAGCTGTAAAGAGGAGAATCAGTTGTTCTCTGTCCTCCTGGAGTGCTCATGGGGGAACCTACTGAATGAGGTGGTTTGCTGTATATACACTAGATAGGTATATAGGCATTGGAAGTGTCCCAGAGTTCTCTACAACAGTTGACAGCACCAGACTGATGCCTATTTGTCTGATTCTTTACCATTTTTGTTCCAACTAGCACTTTATTGCTAGCGTTTCAGGGCTTGTTTGATTTTGTGCTTTGGATCACATTCATGCTGTAAAAGAGGATAACAAGAATGTGAAGATGTCTTCTATACTGATTTCTCTGTGTCTTTTTCCCTCTTTACAGCATTTTGTTTGCAGACATTGTGGGGTTCACTAGTTTGGCATCCCAGTGTACTGCCCAAGAGCTGGTGAAGCTGCTGAATGAGCTTTTTGGCAAATTTGATGAATTAGCTACAGTAAGTACAACACTCTTATTTCATTTTAATTTAAATTCTCTTCTGAAAAATTATGTATGAGTTACACATGTTAGAAATCTCGAATAGACTGATTTAGCCCTGTGTGTATGAATTTCCAAAGCTTCCACTTTTTATTAATATTCTGGAGAGAAAGCAGTCTATTTTAATTGTTTAGGAAAGAAGCTTAAGTTGCTATTTTTAAATATACTTCCCACTCCTTTGAGGCAGTCAGTGTTCATTGGTTTTGTTTGCACAAGACAGAGAAAATATTTCAATATTTACATTTCTATCCTGCATGGAAAAAAAACAGGATAATGGAAAATATGAAGGTTGGCAGTATGGCATAAAGCTACTTTCTGTGATAATAAGCTAGAGAGCAAAATCAGTTCTTCACAGAGCACTCCTTGTCCCAGAAATGATGGTAGCTTTTCAGAGAGGCTATTGTAGGCAAAATGGGATCCGTATCATAACTGATCCTTATGTTTTGGTCAGTGCATTTACATTGTGCCAGATTCCACAAGAAAAAGAAAATGAGAGAAATGTTCCTTGCCTGTAACTCTTAGCAGTCTAATGGTACCACAAGCATTTGCAAGAAATGAGAGGAATGGATGTGCCTAAAGAAGTCGTACGTCTTGTTTCAAATTACATTTTAACAGTATGCTGAAAATGTGCTTTTTCCTTGAACAAAGCAAAAATTAATCAAATCCATCTTGTTTGCCGGCCATGTCCTTAGAGCCTTCATTGCTGAGAAGTATCACCTCCACATAAGTTATGCTCCTCCAGTATCTAGTTATCTTGTCTTCAGACTCTGTGCATCACCCTAGAGAACAAATTTCTTCAAGTCCCCAATATAAACAATTTTTTCAGTCCAGACTCACTTCTCCTTGAAGTAGTCATCCACATGAGAGATCTGAAGCCTGTGGATGCTTTGCATCTGTGGCTCCCTGTTGATAAACAGCTCTCAAAGAGTCCAAGGAGAAAGAAATCTTCTGCTGCACAAGATGCCTATTCTTAGTTAAATGGGTTATTGTTTGATCACATGGTATATCCAGATTTGTGCTATTTCCTGATTCTCAAGTCAAAACAGAGAGGAACTCTTCCCTTTTTTTCAAGAAAAACAGAAGATTAACTTAGATGCTGAGTAGACATGCAATGGAGGTGTGTGTGTTTTGGTATGAATTTGTAACACACTCACAAGCCTTTGTGTAACCAGTTCATTACTAGAACTACTGGCAGTGCCTCATAGAAAGCACAGGTCCCCAGCCCAGAGTACTTTATAGATGTATACCTTAGAAATAAAAGGAACTGCCATGTAGGTGATCATTGGCCAGAGCTTAAATGTCTTTAAAAGTTCAAATAGTGTCCTTGCTTTAATTTCATGACTGAATTTAATCTTCCACATGTCAACCAGCCATCTAGTAAGCTCTTTTAAATAATATATAAATATATCTCTTATGCTATGATTTGTGGAGTCTTCATAGCCATGAAACACAAGGCAATGTAATAACATGGGAATACTGTAACATAAGATGAGACCGCACATGTGCACCCACTTGCACGTGCCTATGACGTGTGACATGGCACTGAAGCCAGGGAGGTGGCTGCTGTCCCGTGCTTGTTCCCATAGCGGTAGCAAGGCACAGCCACCTGGAGCAGGCAGGGATACCTGAAGCCAGGGTACCAGGCAAAAGCCCACTTTTAAGGCAGATGCCAACTTTTAATGTGAGGTCTGTTGTTTGTCAGGGAAGAAGTAGATCAGAGATAGCAGAGGAGCTAAAAATCCTTAGTTTTCTGTTCAGCCTGCATGCATTCATTTTTCAAATTTGAAAATAAATCTCATGGTTTCTTCCAGCTATGTGAGGAAGATTTGTTATTTACTTGTCCTTCTAGTTCAGACTACTTCATCAGCGTGTGATTAAGGACAACATATGAGCTTGCCTTGGTGCCTCCTGATGTGGTAAAGGGAGACTTGTTATTTTACTCCTGCAGTCAGATGAAATGTTCTGGGAAGTGTAATTCTTCAGAAGGTTTCTGAAGTTAAAACAACTTCTAGATATTCATTATTGTGTCAGAACAGAGGACCGGGCTGATATTAAAACAGTGCTGTGCTTTAGTGTGTGGAATGATGGAGGAAACTACAGGGACTTCAAAGAAAAATGTAGTGGTGATAGGTATGTTCACTGTGACTACTAAAGTGTGGTCTGTGAGTGTGCATACTGTGTGCTGCTGCTGCTTATGAATCAGTATTAGCTGGAAGGTGCAGTTTATGACAACCCTTGTCATAACAATTGTCCTGTCTTAAAACTGTAACACTAAAAAAAAAAATCCCTGTCACCACTGTGGGAAGTGTAGTAAGTATAAGGCAGCATATATTTACTGTGAGTCTCCTGAAGAGTCTCAACATTTTGGCACATTGACACATTGTAGGAACACTGAGTCTGCATTTTGGCAGTACAACTCTGAAGCTGACCAGAACCAGGTGCTTCAGACAAAGATAAAAAATTATTGTTGAGAAATCTGGGACATTTTAATGCTAAACTTTGTCTTTCTGACATTTAGAAGCTGGTTTATGCTTTTTAGCATTAGATTTTTCTTTCTTTCTATTTGCTGTTTGTTTGAATATTTTTTTTTTTAAGGGAAATAGTTTTGCTCTTTTTGAAATGCTACGCCTTTTTTTTTAAATCACAGCAGCTTCAAATGTAGTTACAGCTTGTGACAGGGAGTTCTGAAGGCAAACCTCAGGTTTCAATTTATTTTCATTCCGTTCCTTTGAAAGTTTGTTTGTGCATTCTGTTCATAAAGAGGGAAGAAAATTCCTGATCTTACTCCCGACTAGAAATGATTTGTACTTTTATCACATCCTTCTTTTTTTATTCACCTCTAGAGAAAATACGTTTTTCAAACACTTATGTCGTACAGGTTTTTTTACCTTGTAAATCACTGAGTCTTTGAACTCTGTTAGGAGAAGAGGTGTTCAGAATACAGTACTTAAAATGATGGCATGTTTTCTGTTTTCACAGTAGCGCTGTTTGGTTTCTCAAAGAAACAGTCTTAGGTAGTCATATTTTGTGGAGGATTTTGTGGTCCCCTTAACTTTTGAGTCTATGGGCCAGCTTCAGCCACTTTGAAGAAAGGAAAGTACGTCTCAAAAATAAAGCTAAACAGAAATGAGTGATGGTATCGTTATCCTTGCGGGAGTGTGACTTCATCCTAGAGAGACATCAGAGGATCCACATGGAGAGGCACTGTTATGGATGCCTCAGTATTCGTTGGTATGTCTGGTTGCTGAAGTACTTGTAATGCCACAGTCTTTAGACACCTTGATTGTCTATAAGCATTTTGGGTAAGTTTGCTCTTGCAGAGGTTCTGTTGGGACTGTATACAACACCTTCCTGAACGTGTGCGGTTAGTTCAGTTTCTTATAAGACCTATGAATAGTTCAAATAAAGAATGATTTTGCATTAACTTCTGTTGGATTTTATCTGCTGTTCAGGCTCAGTTTACTTAGTTCAGACGATCACTTCTGAAGTTTCTCAGTTTCCTTCAGTTTTGGTTAAGCAAGAGTAGCTTTGTGCAGTCTCAGATTTTGCCCTAGTGATAGTCATCCTGCATTACATATTGTCAGTGAATGCTTTAAACCACTGATCTCTGCATGAGGTCTTGCAATTAACCTTCATCACTACAGCTAGCTTCCAGTTTGTCATTCTTCAGCCTACTTGCGAGAGGGACAAATTTTAATGAGATAGTCATTTGCATCGTGTTGGTTTTATGTTTCCAAGGAATTCTTGGACACATGACACTTGGGCTGAGTGCCTCGTTACTTTAATACACTCTGTATTTTGGGGCATTTTCTCTTCATGCTTTATCTGTGGTATGGATTTACTGTGAATGAGGGACATTCTCAAGGCTGCAGTTACTCAAGTAGTGTCACATGGAGTTGCACATGTCCCTACTCGGGTACTGCCATGGTCACAGCTCCACTGTCTTGTGATATGGTTCAGCTATAGGCAAAATATTTTAACTGTAGTGAGTCTTTGTAATAGAAAAGAGGAGGTATTTCTCCAGCATCCTACACTGTAATGAAACAGGTTTGCTTTTTAGAGAACTTTTGATCATCTTTAATTCGATAGATTTTTCTCACATACTTCCTGCATCTAATATATGTGAAGAATTAATTACTTGTGTTTACAGGTTCAATTATTTCCCTTTCAACTGCCTTTTGGACTTTTAAGACTTTCCGTTTACATGTGGATTAGGATAGATGTTTAGGGTCCTTTAAAAGGACGTCGCTAGAACAGGATTCTGATATTCTGAACAAAAGCGCTTACTTGTTCGTGCCACTTTTGGCATCTCATCTATTAGCCAGACTGATACACGGCGCTCCCTTGTTCTTTCCATTTGCGGTTATGTATACCCTCAGGCTTTGTCAGTATTTGTAGGTTGAGTCTATTTTTATTTCTTAATTTAGTGTCCTTTCCTGATTACCTTCTTAGCTTTTAATAATTTTTACTTTACAAATTTCGATGTTACTGAAGTGGCTTTTTTACCTGTTCAGCCTCAAAGATACTGAACTTGACAACATTGCTTCTGAGCCTTAGGCAAAAAGTCAGTAAGTAATATTGATTGGCTTCTGTGTCATTTTTTTTAACTGTGACAAGAACAGTCAGTTATTTGCTTGTGCTTTGGACTAGCTACTCCTAGTGTCAATCAGTTTAAGAAACTGAATCTATTGAATCTACAGAATGCTTTTATTTTATATGAAGATAATTATGTATTTTAAAATATAAAATGGAGAAAGTTCTGTGGGTTGGTTAAGGTGGGAAAGTTAGTGCTGGAAAACATAGATATAAACGTACAGCGCGTAATCCTTCTTCATGGAAATTGCTAAGTGTGCACTATGGGGGCATATTTACAAAGTCTCATTTTAAAGACACTTGTCTCTCCAGGTTCCCTGGATAGTCAGTGCAGACACAGGATCCCACTGAGGCAGATCATGCATG